GAGCCACCCAAGCATGGCCACGTGGCCTCCAGGGGTGCCCACATAGCTCCTGTAACCACTCAAAGACCCTATTTTTCAAACATGAAAACAAACATAATGAGCTAGAGTCCTTAAGCTTTGCTTAATTAGAGTAAAACTTGTAGAGCAGAAGATAAGTAAGTGTAAACATGTAAATATTAATGGTTGGATGGAAAGAAAAGTCGGGTAGAAAGAAATTTCACACTGCAATAGTTCTTTTCTCTTTAGGTGGGTGGCCCCTCAAAGATTCAAATTCACAGGAAGCAGATCAAGTTTTTGTCACATGACCTCCCAAGAAAGGATAGAGTCCGGGGAAAGAGTGGCCAGAAAAGAAGGACGCCAGAGATGACGATTTCTTACACCTCCAGGCAGAGTCCAGCTCAGGCTGGGGGCGGGGCGGTCTTCCGAAAGCAGGGTCTTCTCTCAAGGAGTTCTGGGAGGGAGGCGGGGAGGCAGACACTTCCTTCGATCTGTGGGATCCAGTAGGCGGGATATGTCAGCTCCCTCCAGCCTCCTCCCTGCTTCCCTAGGATTCCTTTATATGGTCCAGTTTTTATAATTACAGGGACCGCCCAACCCTTGGGGCCTAGGAGTTAAGTGCCTGGTTGCTTAAACTCAGCACAATGTCTGAAAAGATGGGCTCCCCATGTACAAAGAACTCTCCAGGTCTATTAAACTACTGGCTGGTGTGGCTCAGCTTGTTGAGTGTCGTCCCTGCACCAAAAGGTTGCCAGTTTGATTCCTGGTCAGAGCACATGCTCAGGTTTCAGGCTCGATCCCCAGTAGGGGGCGTGCAGGAGGCAGCCATTCAGTGTTTCTCTCTCTTCCTCTCCCTTTCCCTCTCTAAAATCAATTTTTTTAAAATGCATTAAAAGCACATGCAACAGTCAGTGTCACACTTAGACTTCAAATGGAGCTGCATCTTCAACTCCGTTTTAAGGCCCTAACATAGAGGAGAGTTTGGGAGCCAGAAGAAAGAGTCTTGCTATACATGCTGTGTTGGGGGCGCCCCCTACATGTTGTAAATATTCAGCTGATAAGTTTGTCTATTTGATATTAAAAGCACATGCAACAGTCAGTGTCACACTTAGACTTCAAATGGAGCTGCATCTTCAACTCCGTTTTAAGGCCCTAACATAGAGGAGAGTCTGGGAGCCAAAGAAAGAGTCTTGCTATACATGCTGTGTTGGGGGTGACCCCTACATGTTGTAAATATTCAGCTGATATGTTTGTCTATTTGATCTAACCCTGGTTTTCCTTACTTGACTGTTTTGAAGTCATGAGTGTTTTTGGCATCAGTGCCCTGATGTCACCTGTTCTTCTATTGCTGGTCCCAATTCCCAGCTGTTAAGGCCGTGTGTGACGCCTCTGGACTGGCACTGGGAAAGCCCCTCGCCTTATCCTGCACACCTACTCATTCTCTGGCCATTTTCATTTGAGAAAAATGAAGGAGAGGGAGGGAGGTCCTGCCTTTGTGGCCTTTGTCCTCTGTGCATGGTTCTCTGTTGGTAGGAGAGACCTGACCAGCCAGCATGCACCTATCCATAGGGCATGTCCACCTGGGATGGACTTTTTAGGTGGTTCCTTGGCAACCAGATCTACTATCCTTCCCCTCCCTGAACTTACCATTAACTAAAAAGAGCACAAAATTGGCTTAGTGGAGCCACCAATACGAACACATTTTTATGAACATGCACAGTCTCTTTATGCTCCAGGACTCTTTTCTTTTCTTTCTTTCTTGTTTTTTGTTGGTGGTGGTGTTTTTTGTTTTGTGGGGTTTTGTTGGAGGTGGTGGTGATGGTGTGTGTGTGTGTGTGTGTGTGTGTGTGTGTTTAAGAGGAAGGGAGAGGGGGAGAGAGAGAAGCATCAATGATGAAGAGAGAATCATTGATCTGCTGCCTCCTGCACTCCCCCTACTAGAGATCAAGCCTGAAACCCGGGCATGCGCCCAAACCAGGAATCAAACCATGATCTAGTTCATAATTCAACCCTCAACCACTGAGCTACGCCAGCCGGGCTAGAACTCATTTCTTAAAGGGCCTACACTTCTTTTCCAGAACCATTTGAAAGCTGAAAAAAATCGGAACATTTAAGGCCAGAAGGACCTTCAGGATCTATTAGTCACTGTCCTATTTTACAGATGACACCCAGCGCTCACATAGCTAGTTACTAGAAGTGGGACCACGCCCTGGGGATCCTGTTCCCAGTCGTAGGCTCTTTCCACTGTACTGGGAGCCACCTCCATGTGGAACAGCACCACCAACTAGCAAACGTGCCAAGTAGCTCTCTCTGAGGACAAGGACCATTCCACATTGCTTTATGGGTCCTCTGGCCCCGGGACAGTGATGACCAACAACAGGTACTCAGGACATTTACTGATGCCTGACCTAAGTTTCCGTAACTTAAATCGATGGTTAAAATCCTAATATGCAGCTGATGGCTTCCTCCACGAGAGGACATCTATCTATAAGTCTACTTCTGAGAGTTAGCAGCCTTGGACAGCCGAAGCACAGGCAATGTAGCTCTAAAAATGGTGATATTATGTCATTGCTGCGTCTTACTGTGAAAGAGGTAATATTCTAAGACTGTTTGCTCATCTTAGAATGAATACCTACATCTTTTGGTGGCAAAATGACACATATAGTGGGAGCATAGTAAGTACAGATATGCAATTGAAATTAATGTATGTGAAGTATGTAATAACATGCCTCACACTCTCATCCTTTAACTTGGGGATAGGAGGGTGTTGAGAATGGGGTTTGTTGCTGATTCTATAGTTTCATATGAAACTCCTCAGTCATAACAGAGCAATCAGATACTTTAGAAAATTGAACACTATGTTCATTCTTCCATCCGGATTAAATAAATCCCCGTTTTGTATCTTTCACACTAGCCATGCATTCATTTAGAACTTTCTTCCATCATATTCTTAGCCACTTTCTTAGGCCTTTTCGTTGCCATCTTGGTTGTTAGTAAGCTGACCTAACCAAAATTTGAAATGGCTGCCTCCACAGGTAGAACCAATTTCAGCTTAGTTTTGACTTTCTCATTGTCCATCCCCAAACGAAATGGCCACAGAGAATGATGTTGCCTTTGGGGCAGAGAGCTTTGATTCATTAAAACATTTCCTACAAGTTTTCTTGCTTCTTTTCTTTGGTCTTGCTTGCTTGTCCTTTGTAATTTGCTTTTACTTATTCTGAATTATATTCTATTTTTTGGTCACAGTACTCCCTTAACCAACAAGTTCAGCTCTATCACAATTCTCTGAGTTAGTTTTAGAGACTCTTTCAGAAACACAGAATTGTTTTATCTTCACACAAAAATAGCTTCCTGAAATACACATGTCTCTGGGGGGTATTGTATTGAAGTCACCTCTTCCTGCTGATTCTGAAGTTTCTCCCCCAAATTCCAGGGAACAGAAGCTTGGGCTGCATTCTCACTTTTCATTTGCGGTGTTTGGTTACTTTGCGTTAACATATTCAATACAGCAGCCTCTTCTGGCATGTTTCGGTTTTTAAGAATTATTGGAAATCAGCCGTGAGCTGTAGGTCAAAGCTATGAAGCAAGTACTAATGTATTAAAACAGGCAGAAGCAAATCGGAGAAAAGAGGAATGTGTTAGTTTTGTTACTGCTGCTGTAACAAATCACCCTGAAATTTAGTGGCTTAAAACAAGACAGACTTACTCTCTCACAGTCTGGAGGTCAGAAGCCCTTATACTGGGCTAAAATAGCGCCAGCAGCCTCAGCCGCCTTGGCTCAGTGGATAGAGCATCAGCCTGCCTCCTAAAGAGTCCCGGGTTCAATTCCGGTCAAGGGCACATGCCCGGGTTGCATGTTCGATCCCCAGTAGGGGGCCAGGAGGCAGCCGATCAATGATTCTTTCTCATCATTGATGTTTCTACTCTCTTCCTCTCTCTTCCTGTCTGAAATCAATAAAAAAATATTCTGGAGGTCAGAAGCCCTTATACTGGGCTAAAATAGCGCCAGCAGCCTCAGCCGCCTTGGCTCAGTGGATAGAGCATCAGCCTGCCTCCTAAAGAGTCCCGGGTTCAATTCCGGTCAAGGGCACATGCCCGGGTTGCATGTTCGATCCCCAGTAGGGGGCCAGGAGGCAGCCGATCAATGATTCTTTCTCATCATTGATGTTTCTACTCTCTCCCTCTCCCTTCCTGTCTGAAATCAATAAAAAAATATTTTTAAAAATTAAAATAAAATGGCGTCAGCAGGTCTGGTCCTTCCTGGAGGCTCTGAGGGGAGAATTCGTTCCCTTCACTCATATCGCTCCTCACTCTCATCTCCTGCCCCCTTCGTGGAAGAACCTTTGCAATTCCATTAGACCTGCCCAGACCATCCAGGATACGCTCCCAGCTCAGGACCCCGAACTTAATCCCATCTGCAGGGTCCCTTCTGCCACATAAGACGACACATCCCAAATGGTCTGGGGGTGACGAAGTGGACGTCGTTGGAAACCATTATTCGCTGACTGAAAGGCCTTGGCCTCTCTCTAGTGACAGTCTTTGGCCTCTCGTATTGAGGTTGGGCTGGCTTGATGGGGTGGGGAGAGGTTTGTGAGTGGGCCTGCCGGTGGCCTGCAAAGACCCACGGCCCGCTTCCTGCCTGCAGCACCCTGCGGTGGCAGCCGGTCTCAGCCACCTCCCGGACTGTCCGGCACATCACCTAGTGCTCTAGGACAGGGGTGGGCAAACTTTTTGACTCGAGGGCCACAATGGGTTCTTAAACTGGACCGGAGGGCCGGAACAAAAGCATGGATGATGGGGTGGGGAGAGGTTTGTGAGTGGGCCTGCCGGTGGCCTGCAAAGACCCACGGCCCGCTTCCTGCCTGCAGCACCCTGCGGTGGCAGCCAGTCTCAGCCACCTCCCGGACTGTCCGGCACCTCACCTAGTGCTCTAGGGCCGCTCACTGTTCCCAAGATGTTCTCCAGCCGCCCTTCCTCACCCTGTTTTCTTTCCTTTTCAGCATTGTGCTAGCGCCAGGAAGCCACTGTGTCAGCAAGCTGAGAGGGAAACTGAGGCAAGATGTCGGGCCGGAGCGGGAAGAAGAAAATGTCCAAGCTGTCCCGTTCAGCCAGGGCCGGGGTCATCTTCCCGGTGGGGAGGCTGATGCGTTACCTGAAGAAAGGGACGTTCAAGTACCGGATCAGCGTGGGTGCTCCCGTGTACATGGCGGCAGTCATCGAGTACCTGGCAGGTAAGGTGCCTCGAGGGGCAGGTAACCCGCCCCCAGATTGCACCGTCCGCTCGGCCCCTCTCACACCCGCTGGGAGGGTGCTGTCTCAAGGCTGCTGTGGGTGGCAGCTGGGTTGGGGCTTGCCTGCTTGCTGATCAGTTTCTGCAGGCTTTAGGGGAGAGAAAAGGGCATAAGACGGACAGATGATCAGCACGGGAGGAAGAGAACCCACAGGAAAGTGGCTTTTCCAGCCCAGCCCTGAAAAAGGTGTGTCTTGCGTAGGCAAATGCAATGTGTGAAAATCTAGGTTCCCAAAGAAGAGAAGCTACGGGAGGAAGGGGGTGCTATTTGTTTTATAAAAGGGGGTCTTCACTTTACAGAAAGTCCTCATTAAACATCGGTTCTCCGGGGTATGAAACTAGGACTCGATGTCCATAAATAACATTGACCAGAGCATCAAAGGCATGTTCAGTTGGTGCCATGAAGCCAACATTCTAATTTTGCTCCTTTACAGAGGTGGTTCTCTGCTACAGTGGTTATGTAGGAAATCGTTTCCCGTATTGGTTGTTAAAATTACTTTTTTACTAAGAGATGAGAGTTTTGCTGTATGGGTTCTCTATATATTTGAGAACTTTCTACTTTGTTTTTGTTATTGTACTCCTATGTCGTAAACAGAAGATATACTTCACAATTTCAAGGAGGCTTTAAAATATATATAGCCGGCCAGTGTGGCTCAGTGGGTTGGAACAGGAGGTCACAGTTCAATTCCGGCCAGGGCACACGCCCGGGTTGCATTCTTGATCCCCAGTAGGGGACATGCAGGAAGCAACTGATCAATGATTCTCTCTTGTCATTAATGTTTCTATCTCCCTCTCCTTTTCCCTCTCTGAAATCAATTTTAATTTTTTTTAATTTTTAAGATATATAAAAATACAAATCTATATAAATAAGTGTGGTTAGTTCATTGAAGGGGTCCTCTTAGCCATTGGCAATAATGTCTTGGACTTTGCCCATGGGGATTCCCTAGACACCAGATCCTTTGGAAAGTCCACCAGGGAGAAAAGCAAACTTCCCCAAACCACCTACCTGGAAGCTGAGCCCCTTGCAGCCACAGCATGAAAACCCCCAGGCGGGCAGGGCTGGACCCAGTTTCTCTCCCAGGTCCCTCTTCCCCTCCTGCTTCTCCCTCAAGCGCAGTCTCTTCCTCCTTAAATGTACGGTCCTGTTCTGCCCTCCTGGTCCCCATCGCTCACCGAGCACCGTTACCGATGAAAGGTTTGCCTTGATCCCTTCGTGGAAACTTCTCCCCCTGACCTTCTGTCGGACACACCGACCGCAGCACCATGAGCCTGTCCCTTACTGAGCAATGAAAGCCCTCCTGGGCTAAAGGTTTTCCAGGAGGATCCTTCAGGAGGTGGGAGAGGGCTGGAGGGCTCTGAAGGTCGACTGAGTCCAGGGAGATAGAGCAGTGCTGTTCAAGGTGGGATCACCGGGGATCTTGTTGACAAGGGCCGGGGTGGCGCCTGAGACTCCGCCCTTCTAATGAGCTCCCAGGTGATGCCCATGCTGCTGCTTCCAGGACTGCTCAGAGGAGCAAGGTGGTAGCCAGTCTCTCAGCAGCAGGCCTACAGGCGTGGGGGATGCTTGTTCAAAATGCAAGTTCCTGGCTGCACCCCTCCCGGTGGCCTGATTCCCTGGGTCTGGGGTAGAACCCAGAAGCCTGATGAGAAAACCTGCTGGCTCTGGGATGCTGGCTTCGAGAAAGATGAATGAAACTTTAAAACAACCTGTTAAACTCGTGTCACCCACTGAGACTGGAAACCACTTGGGTGACCCAGAGATCCCACAGCCTCCCAGCAGGAGCTGGGCTTCCCTGAGACCCTCCCATCCCAAGCTGTGCACTTCCTGCTACACCACCGTGATCCATTATAATGTGTGTATAATCAAAGTAATTAAGTACTTTCTATGTCTCCACTTGGCAAAAGTCACACTTCGTGCATAATAAAACAAATGCCGCCTTTTGAATCCCGGGCATCTCTGTTCATCTTTGGTTCAGATAAAAGCTTACATTCTCCCATTTATTCAACCAATATCTGTTAAGCATGTACTTGTCAGTACACACACTAAGTCCTCAGGCTGCTCTCTGGTCATAGAATTGGACCGTTGCTAGGATTTTTCATGTGTCTTGGATTAGAGCCCCCAGCTTCCACAGCAGTCACACTGAGCCAGCAGGTCTTTAAGGATTTATAGTACCTCCCAGAGTAGAGCATCCTTCTGTTTCTCAGTGAATGGAGTTCTCAGAATCTTCCATTCACTCACAAACAGTTATTGAGCACCTACTGTGGGCCAGGTGTTGTGGATGCTGAGGATAGAGCCTAGACCAGGACAGACAGGAATCCCTCCCTCCAGCAGAATGCATTCCCGAGGAAGGAGCAGGCAAACAAGTGGAGGGTGTGCTGCATCAGGCGTGCTAAGTGCTGGGGGACAAATAAAGTGGATACTACTGATAGGGTGTTCCAGAAAAGGGAAGGGGAGGGGAGTCGTAAATAGAGACACCCAAGAAGGCCCATCTGAAGGAAACCAGAGAGTGGGCCTACAGATGTTGGGGTGGGCGCCCCAGCCTGGGGGAAGGCAGGTGCTGGGAGTGTTGGGGGAACAGCAGTGGGGACAGAGGGCTACAGCTGGGGGCGGGGCTTGGACTGTAAATGAGGCCCAAGGGAGAAGGGGCTGGAATTGGGGGAGGGGGTGGGGATAAGAGCTAGCAATAGCAGCTCTGCAGGGTTTGGAGCAGAGGCGGGAGTGATCTGATCCTGGGGGAGGGGTACAGGGTGGAAGCAGGAGAAGCAGCTGGAAGGCTACGGCAGAGATCCAGTGAGTGGGCAGTGAAGGCACCGAGGAAGAGTAGAGTACTGATATATTTTGAAGGCAAAGCCAACAGGACTTGCTCATGAGTTGCACATGAAATAGAAGAGAGGATGAGCACCTAGAAGGATGTCATAGCCATTAATATCCGGCCCCCTCTCTCCAGCCAGTCCCAGCATCCAGCATCTTCCTCAGTCAAATGGAGAAAGTGAGCCTGGCCCGTGGGGCTCAGTGGTTGAGCGTAGACCTGTGAACCAGGAGGTCAGGGTTCAATTCCCGGTCAGGGCACATGCCCGGGTTGCGGGCTCGATCCCCGGTAGAGCACATGCAGGAGGCAGCCAATCAATGATGTTTCCTCTTTCATCGATGTTTCTATCTCTCTATCCCTCTCCTTTCCTGATGCCTGGGTCTCACCCCCAGAAATTCTGGGGTGTGTTCTGGGCATCAGGGTTTCTCAAAGCTCCCCCAAATGATCTGACGGGCAATAGAGTTGGGAATTAGTAGGAGTTACCAGATTCAGATGGGAGGGGTTGCACAGGGGGAGATTGTCCGGTTGGGGAGGAACAAGGATGAAGTTTAGAGGAAGTATGTAGCACTTCCAGGAACTAGAGGAAGTTCCGTGTACCAGGAACAAGCTGGGAAGTGGCAGGGCCGGGGGTTGGTGGTGGGAATGAGATGGAGTGGGGAGCAGGCCATTGAGGACCACAATGAGCTATTGAGAATAAATAATTTACCTTTTTTATGTTGAGAAAATGTTTCATAAAATATTTTTAATTGAGAGGACAAAGAAGTCTTAAAGCAGGGTTAAATTTCAGGGCACCTCCTGAAATCATTGTGTAACATAGGAACTCATCATTTACACATCATTTCCAGACAATTAGGTCTATCCATTTAACACCAAGCATTTTTACCTAATGATTCTCACTTATTACATTTGTGTTTTGAAGAGCTCACTTTGGCAGCCAGAGCCACACGCGTGGTTGTACAGATTGTACACTGCGCAAGGACACACATTTAAGGGCATGCCATTCACAGCGTGGCCCTCAGATAACTATCTTTACTATGAGCATTTCCAGCAGATGGCAGTAAAGGGTCTTGTTCAGATGAAATCGGGGCAGTACAGTGTCTTGAGGAAGAGGCATCTTTTTCTAATTTGCACAAAGGCACCTTTGGCCTAGTGATGGCCTTGTTGGCACGGATCTGGAGGAGGACAAAACGGAGACAGGGAAACCATTTCGACAGTCACTACTGTTTTCTGGGCCGGAAGAGAAGAGAGCCTTAACTCAGATCATGGCAACAAGCGTGGAGAAGAGGGGCAAAGGCGTGTGAGCTTGATGAGGCCGGGAGGAAGGCGGGCGGGGAGGAGGAGAGAATGACTCTAAGGTCTGTGTGTGGATGGAGCTGCCAGTCCCAAGGGCGATGGGAGGAGCAGGCTTGGGAAGCGGGTGATATGGATGTGGGGAGTTGGATTTACCTGTGGAACACCCAGGTGAGGAGGCCCAGATGACATCTCAGCAGAGCTGGAGGTGCAGATCTGACCACACGGGAAGGTAGGTGGAAGCTGGAGCCACAAGTGGATGGGGTTTCCCCAAAAGACTCATGGCCTAAGCAGAGCAAAGGGCCCAGACACAGCCCAGGGGCGCCATCACTAGCGGGCAGGTGTACAAGCAAGTTGGGGCCAGAGAAGGAGACGGTCTTGAAGGAGCGGCCACTCCAGGCCCTCTGTTCCAACCCTCCATTTAATATGCTATTTCCCATCTGCTGGGGTCGGGATGCCCGGTGTTGATTCAGTTCGTGTCCAAAATGAGAGGACACAGCTCTTCCAAAATAATTTCTTTTGGCTACAGAAATCTTTTTTTTTTTTTTTACTACCAGATACTCAGGTGCATTCCAGATGGTTACTATTGCTGGAAACCAGACTTCCACGAAGTTAGAGGTTTGCTATGGAAGTCTATAAACTTCCATGGAAGTCGCCACCACTTAATGGAATAATGATCTGCCCACAGAATTTCCAGTGGAACAAATGTGTGCCATTTAAATCCAGTTTTCCTCCTGATGGCCAATAGAAGGAGACTTGTGTTCCCAAAATCAATAAAGTCACTCAACGATGTAGCAACTATAACGTGGAAGAGATGTGAGAATGAATTTGCAGGGTTGTAGCACTTTTCATTATGGAAATGCCACATAAATATTTAATTTTAATGCTTATTTTATAATCCACATGAATGCGTTTGTCGGAACAGCATTTGAAAATATTAATAATGATTAATGTTGTTTCAAACATTTAAATCATCGGTTCTCAACCTGTGGGTCGCGACCCCTTTGGCGGTCGAACGACCCTTTCACAGGGGTCGCCTAAGACCATCCTGCATATCAGATATTTACATTACGATTCAAAACAGTAGCAACGTTACAGTTATGAAGTAGCAACGAAAATAATTTTATGGTTGGGTCACAGCATGAGGAACTGTATTTAAAGGGCCAGAAGGTTGAGAACCACTGATTTAAATGGTGGCTTCTCTGTCCCAGGGAATGTTTAGATGAAACATTCAACACAGAAAAGAACTCCTTGGTCTAGATTTTCTGGTGTATCATTAAGTTCTCCTCTTTAAAGAAAAAAGGAAGAAAAAGGAAGCTCTACCTTTGCTTTTTCACTAGAGCACATGGTCAAGGTTTTCTTTCTAGAACGGATTTTGGAAGGGCTGGTCCGGGAGCTGAGTCGCACGCTTCGTGCCACCTGCTGAGTCACTGCGGTGACTCTCTCCTGTGCTGCACTTAATTCTGGCAGATTTCTCCGTGCGTCTGTCCGTCAAGCTGAAAATAACCTGAGCTTCAGGGGCTTCTGGCAGGCCCCAAGCATGGTGGGTTTCCCCATGAGCCCTGCTTCTCATGCTGACGACTGAGTTAATGAACTTGGGAGGGTGCTTAACTTCTTCCTCTAAATGCAGGGACAGAGGCAGGAGAGTGATGGGCCAAGATGCTAAATTACATTTGATTTCTCAGAAGTTTAACATTGGGAGGCTCCTTGGCCCCCACACCCATCCAGGAAAAAGGGTGGGTGGAGTGCACCTTCTTCCCAGGCATGGGGCCCCCGAGATGAGCAAGTGCAGGAAACTCCGTTTTATTTCGCACAGTGGGATGCTGCACATTTTAACCTAGAGTCATGCTGCAAGCCTATTTTTTTAAAATATGTTTTTACTGATTTCAGAGAGAGGAAGGGAGAGGGAGAGAGAAACATCAATGATGAGAATCATTGATTGGCTGCCTCCTGCACGAGGAGATCAAGCCCGAAACCTGGGCATGTGCCCTGATGGGGAACCGAACCGTGACTTCCTAGTTCATGGATCAATGATCAACCACTGAACTACACCGGCCAGGCAGCAAGCCAATTAGTGAAAGCTTTGTGATTGCATTTCTTTTTGATGGGTACACTTTTTTAAATAAAGAAAGGGTTGGGCAGCAGTCTGAATGCAGCAAATCAATATGACATTATCCAAATATGATATTAATTTCAAATTCTCTGCCCCATTGTCTCAACAAATATGCTCATACTTCTCCAACTACGGTGCCCCCTCAATCTCTGATTCAGGAAACATGATCCCTGTATAAATGAATTGTTGGTAAACACAATATTCATTGCTTAATAACCTGGAAGGGATGCTATGAGATGAATTTGCAGTGATTTAGCACTTTTCATTATGGAAATGCCATATAAATATTTAACTCTAATGATTATTTTATTCTAATTTTTGTTAATTACATTTGCTTAGTTAATATGGCATACTTATGCCAAGTTTTTATTTTATTGCCGTATATTTTATAAATGATGGCAATTTCATGTGCTATTTTATTTGAAATTAGGCTGATTGTAAAGACATACATAATCCCCTGTTAATTTTAAGATTTAATATTTATGCCATTATACCAGCAAATCCCCAACACACCACACACACACACACACACACACACACGCCTGTGCAAACACCTCACAACAAATTTATGCGCACATGCACATACGCACACATTTCCCCCCGCGTGTTAGTGAAACGACTCAATGGCACATTGCTGTTAGCTTCCTAAGGGAAGGGATTTGTCTTTATAGGCTCATTCATTCTTTTAAAAGCAGACAAGTTGGATTTAGCAGAACATCCTAAAACTGAGGAAGAAGGAAAAATAACAAAATAAGAGGAGAAAGGGGAAAGCATACAGATGGTATGAAACAATTCTATAGATTTTTTTTAAAAACTTGACTCAAAAATTTGGTAGCAGGTGAAGTAGTATTAGGAAAATTCCTTTCTGTCAGCTCTTTCACATTTACCACATAACATGTTCGTTAAACTCAGAGCCAGGCTTAGGCTCTGAGGGGTATGAGGAAACCCCTGAGCCCCAACATTCCTTCCTTCGCAGACCTCATAGGTCTCCCCACTAGGAATTCACTTCTCGGGTTGAGCATTTCCTCATCCCGTAGTGTGAGTGAGTCCTTCCCATCCACTTTCCTTTAGGACAAGAGGGACCTGGGGCACCAAGTGAAGCGGAAAAGGGGATTCTGAAAGGGGTCCCACTGGGTACCAGAGACAGACTTCACCTACATCACTATTCTCTTCAGAGATGCCCCATGCTAGGGTTTAAACAAGAGTGTATTTCTCTCTCATAAAAGAAGTCTATAGACCAGTGATAGCGAACTTTTTGAGCTCAGCGTGTCAGCATTTTGAAAAACCCTAACTTAACTCTGGTGCCATGTCACATCTAGAAATTTTTTTGATATTTGCAACCATAGTAAAACAAAGACTTATATTTTTGATATTTATTTTATATATTTAGATGCCATTTAACAAAGAAAAATCAACCAAAAAAATGAGTTTGCGTGTCACCTCTGACACACATGTCATAGGTTCGCCATCACTGCTATAGAACATAGTCCAGGTTGGTAAGGAAGCCCCACAGCCATAAGATACCTCAGCTCCTTCTGTCTTGTTACTCCACATCCACAGCTTCTTCTTGGTCAAATCCCAGCCATCACGTCCTCAGTCCAGCAATAGAAAAGGAAGGGGTACCATACAACACGACTGCTTGCCTTTCACTGGCCAGAGCTTAGTCACATGACCACCTGTATCAACAAGGGAGGTTGGGAAAAACTGTCTTCATTCCTTCCCATGGATATGGGCTCAGAGAAAAAAAAAAATCAGATCCATATACCAAGGAGGATGGGGAGGAATTAATGTCAAGGGACAACTAGAAGACTTTGTTCCAGGATCATAGGTCAGGTCTTGCTACCATATCTTCCTTGTCTAAGACCTGAATTCTTTTCAGCTTTCTGGATTTCTTTCCAGGCCCAGACTTAAAAATCACAAGTGAATCAATGTGATCAAACTCAAAGACCACTCCCAAGGAAAAGCTTCAGGGAGCTCAGACCCCATTCTGTGATTGCCTATTAACTCCCCCTTGTCCTTTCAGCGGAGATTCTAGAATTGGCTGGCAATGCCGCGAGGGACAACAAGAAGGCCCGGATAGCCCCGAGACACATCCTGCTGGCAGTGGCCAACGATGAGGAGCTCAATCAGGTACCTCTGCCGCACGGACACGTGCCACCAACTGGGTTTGTCAAACACACGGCTGCATGTGGACACAGCTGGCTGCAAGTCATTCCTGCTCTAGTTCCCGTCACATTTGCACCAAAATAGGTCTTTTAGATCCTAAAAGAGAAGAATCGATTCTTCTAGGGTATCATTCAGCTTCAAAATACAGTTGCCTCTGGAGTAGATCCTGTTATATATTCTGGGTCTGGCCAGACCTTCTTTTCCTCAAAGGAGTGCGGAGACCCGTGGTCTGCTGGGTCTAGCCCCAGCTTTGACCTTTGAACTTCATTTTGTCAAGCTGCGCTCCCCATGTGTGAGGCTCTTTATCCTCTGTTATGTCTGGAATTCCGGAGCCCTGGGCAGCATCGCTGGTTTCAACCTCTCTACCCTTTCATTTTGCTTGGCTTGTTGTGTTTTCTGCACAAGATCACAGGAGGCCTTGACGCCTACAGAGATACTCTCTGCAAGAGAAACAGAAAAAGCCAGTTAGACGGTGTATTATGCAACTTAGGGGAAACAAAGGCCAGATTTAACCTTGTTTTGCCAGCAGTTAGAACTGTATTAAACCCAGAATCAGCAAGCTCTTAGCTGTCTGAACTGATGCGTTTCTCTCTTCAGCTGCTGAAAGGAGTGACCATTGCCAGCGGAGGCGTCCTGCCCAGAATCCATCCCGAACTGCTGGCCAAAAAGCGAGGGACCAAAGGCAAGTCGGAAACTATCCTCTCCCCTCCCCCGGAGAAAAGAGGAAGGAAGGCCACGTCGGGCAAGAAGGGGGGCAAGAAATCCAAGGCTGCCAAACCACGGACGTCCAAAAAGGTGAGCCGGGCTGCATCTGTGAGCCAGGGACTCTCGGAACAGCAGGAAAGTTGAACCGTCGAAGATGAAGGTGTAGCCACATCTCCAGAAAATGGGGGACTCCACAGCGCAGTGCTGGGAGAAAATGCCAACCATGCGCTCCAATCATCAGGCTGGGTCTACCAGCGGTTTCCACAGCGCAGGTGGTCCTCATGTTTCCAGATCCCCGCCATTGCCCCCACTAAAACCTACGTGAGAGCCGACAGCTTGACGCGCTGCTATTCACTTCTCCAGCGCTCCATGTTGCCACTACAATATCTCTCGTATCCCCTAGAATCTAGGGCACAAAATACCACATGCGGGCACGCACGTACAGTGCGATTGAAACTTCGTGGCCCATGCGCAGAAGTCGGTATTTTGTGGACGAGCCACACTCAAGGGGCCAAAGACCCGCATGTGGCTCACGAGCCGCGGTTTGCCGAGCCACGACCACTGCGGTCCCCTCAGTCCGGCCGAGGGGGTTCAGGTGTGGCGGAGAACCTGATGCACTGAGCAGCTACAGCTCAGAGATGCCGTTTGCAGAGTAATACTTTCAGGTGCTGCCCAGCACAGTAACTGCTCTCCACGTGTGGTTCTTTCTATTTGAATTTAACTTAATTAAATCAAATTTAGAAGTATTTTCTCAGTTGCACGAGCTGAGTGCTCAATTGCCCTGGCAGCACAGGCGCAGGACGTTCCCACAATCACAGGAGGTTGGACAGCGCAGCTTCAGAGGCTGTCCGTTGCCCTCCACAGACCTCATGACAACACAGAGGTCATGTAAGCGCTCCCTGGGCTGCCTCGGTGCCCCAGGGGAAACCGGGGACAGGGGGTTGAGCAGTGTGCTGGAACGACCCTCCCGGGTTCTGATGCTTGTCATCGGAAGTGGAGAAGAGCAAGAACCACATAACTGTGCGGGTTTGAGTGAGAACTACAGGTGCGCGTGAACCCTTGAACGCGTCGTATTTTTGGCAGCACCCGTTTCTTTTCCTGATATTGCTACCCTTTGCTTCCCTCCATCAAGAGCAGTAAAACATAACGCTAACCACTGCCTTTCATGCCCACGGGGGTGGTGGCCATGGGAAGAGCTTTATCGAGCCACTTTGGGCTTTTTCTCCAATGACTTCCCACCTGTTCCTCTGATTTCTACCCACAGTCCAAACCAAAAGACAGCGATAAAGAAGGGACTTCGAATTCCACCTCTGAAGATGGACCAGGAGATGGATTCACCATCTTGTCTTCTAAGAGCCTCGTTCTAGGGCAGAAGGTACTAAAGAGAATTGCGCTGTGTTGTGCTGTAGTAAAACATGATTGCATTTTCAAATCCTCACCTGAGGATATGTTTATTGATTTTTAGAGAAAGGAAGAGAGAGAGAGAGAAACATCTATCGATTGCCTCCCATACTCTCTGTGACCGGGGATGGAATCCACAACCTAGGTGTGTGTCCTGACCAGGGATCGAACCCACAACCTTTCAGTGCATGGGATGACACCACAACCAACTGAGCCTCCCCCGGGGCCATGGTTGCATTTTTATAACCTGCTGTTTACAAGCAGTGACGACTCCTTCATCTCTGGTTCCCCTAATATGACTTTCGCTCTGGCCTTGAATGATTCATTTTTGAACTAACGAGTAAACAAGGTCTTTCGTGCTGAGAATTGTTCATGCTGATGTTGGTTGGCCAAAGGTAAGCATGGAGAGTAGATAGTTGGTCAGTAGATAGCATTACTGGGTGGCATTACTGGGTTTGCTGGAAATGGCCCAAGCCCCAGTTATTTCTGTGCTCACCAAAATGCTCAGAGCCAACTTTCTCAAGCAGGCTTTGGGCGGTCCACGTTACATGGCTCACTGTAATTCATCAAAGAAAGAAAATAGAAATATGTTTTCCTGAAAACCCCTGGTGTTAGAAATGAATGATTTGCCAATAATTTCGTCTGCCTGCCTTTCTCGGCTGCAGGAAGAAACAAACGGGCCAAACATTTGAACAGTCTCCAGCAGCACAACGGCGGCCCAACCAGACCTGCAGATAATTCATTCCCCCAGCATAAAAGTTTACCAAACAGACAATTATCTGTCAGATCAACTGGGGCTGACATAAGATCCACAAGGAAACAGTTGGTCATATCTCTGGTAGCGCAATGTTTGCAGCCTGACGACAGTACAGTGTGAATCTCATTGACGCGGTTGGGACGAGCGTGTTATGGGAAGAGTGTAAAAGTGGCAGGTTCCTACGGCCTCACTGATGGAAGCCCAGAGCGAAGAGGTGGAATTCATGTCCCCTCTAGGAGCCGTCCGCAGTTACGAGGCGATTAGCTTTCTCTCACTTCTCTAGGGGATCGTGAGGTTCTTGCTCAATGGGGAGGCGATGAATAACGCCTCCATCCCACTAAGCCCTGTGCACATATGGCAGCATTTCACAAGTGCAGCCCCAAGAACGTGGTCCACTAAAGGCAAGACGGCCAGACATATGCAGGTCAGGGTCATGGGGGCCATCACTTCTCTCAAGTGAGGTCATCAGCTTTGCAACCCTCCCCGAAGGTCTGCGTTGCTCTGGGAAGGATGCAGGAAACAGAAGGTAGAGGAGAGAGCCAGGCTTCCCTTGCAGAAGCTACTCAGAGAATAACAGTCTCCAGCAGCACAACGGCGGCCCAACCAGACCTGCAGATAATTCATTCCCCCAGCATAAAAGTTTACCAAACAGACAATTATCTGTCAGATCAACTGGGGCTGACATAAGATCCACAAGGAAACAGTTGGTCATATCTCTGGTAGCGCAATGTTTGCAGCCTGACGACAGTACAGTGTGAATCTCATTGACGCGGTTGGGACGAGCGTGTTATGGGAAGAGTGTAAAAGTGGCAGGTTCCTACGGCCTCACTGATGGAAGCCCAGAGCGAAGAGGTGGAATTCATGTCCCCTCTAGGAGCCGTCCGCAGTTACGAGGCGATTAGCTTTCTCTCACTTCTTTAGGGGATCATGAGGTTCTTGCTCAATGGGGAGGCGATGAATAATGCCTCCATCCCACTAAGCCCTGTGCGCATATGGCAGCATTTCACAAGTGCAGCCCCAAGAACATGGTCCACTAAAGGCAAGGCGGCCAGACATACGCAGGTCAGGGTCCTGGGGGCCGTCACTTCTCTCAAGCGAGGTCATCAGCTTTGCGACCCTGCCCCGAAGGTCTGCGTTGCTCTGGGAAGGATGCAGGAAACAGAAGGTAGAGGAGAGAGCCAGGCTTCCCTTGCAGAAGCTACTCAGAGAATATGTCACCGACCAGCAAGGCTGCCAGGATGGGGAAAGGCAGGCATAGGCTGTAGGAAAAGGAGAAGAGGGGAGGGGGGTCCCGTTTCTGCTCCTGGAAGAGGAGATTTGTGCAAGCTGCTAACCTCAGAGCGAACATCAAGCCCTCTGAGCTCAAAGCACCTGTTGAAAACCAAACACCGGGAAACCTGAGATGTTGCTCCATGTACAGCCCTTTGTGTTGACATTCGGTGTTAGTAACTGAGAGAATTAACAGATATGATGTGAAATACGAAGATGCTTAACAGGATCTAATCTTTCCCACACTCTCTATCCTTTCTTCCTGATGCAGCTGTCCCTGACCCAGAGTGACATCAGCCACATTGGCTCCATGAGAGTGGAGGGCATTGTCCATCCAACCACGGCTGAAATTGACCTCAAGGAAGACATAGGTAAGGTCCCCAGACGTTAGTAGAGGCGCCGCAGTACAGCCCACTGTTCGGGCAAGCTCTTCTGAGGTTGTCCCTTGTCTGCTGGCTGTCCCCTGCTTGGGGTGCTTACCTTTATATGTAGCTGAACAGCATTACCAGAGAGTAACTAATTTTGTTTTAAATCTGCATATATTTTTGAAATTTTCATTGAAATGTTAGATAAAAACAGATCATTAGTGCACAGTTTGGTGAATTTTTCTTAAAGTGAATACATCTTTGCAACCAGCACCTTGATCATGAAACAGAACCTTACCAGCACCTCAGAAGTCCCCTTCTCCCCACTCCCAGTCACCATTCCCTCCAAGGTGACCACTATCTTGTCTTCTAACAGCACAGATGGCGTCATCTGTTTTGGAGTCTTTATAAATGAAATCATGCAGTGCGTCTTCTTTTGTGTCTGCCTCCTCTTGCTCAACTTTGTATTTGTGAAGTTCACTCATGTTGTTGAGTATGGTTGTAGTCCATTCATTTTTCTTTGCTGTATAGTATTCCACTGTAGGGATATATCCCAATTTGTTGATCCGTTCTACCATTGGTGGCATTCAGGTGGTTTTTGGTTTAGATAATAATGAGTAATACTTGTACAAACGTTGTTATACATTTTTGGGGTAAAATTCTGCATATATTTTAAGCTTAAATATTGAGAAAACCATTGATAAAAAGGAAATGGGCATCTAGGGGAAAAAGTTCATTGTCTTAAGGCAGGAGATGTTACCAGGCTAGGTAGAAGAGCCTGGGAAGGGAAGCTAGGAAGGGAACTAGAAATAATAGCATACTCAATGGTCACCATCTCAGCCCTGGCCGGTGTGGCTCAGTTGGTTGGGTGTCGTCCCTCGCATCAAAAGGTTGCCAGCCAGATGGCGTCATCTGTTTTTGCAGTCTTTATAAATGAATCATGCAGTGCGTCTTCTTTTATGTCTGCCTCCTTTTGCTCAACTTTGTATTTGTGAAGTTCACTCATGTTGTTGAGTATGGTTGTAGTCCATTCATTTTTCTTTGCTGTATAGTATTCCACTGTAGGGATATATCCCAATTTGTTGATCCGTTCTACCATTGGTGGCATTCAGGTGGTTTTTGGTTTAGATAATAATGAGTAATACTTGTACAAACGTTGTTATACATTTTTGGTAAAATTCGGTTAAATTCTACATATATTTTAAGCTTTAATATTGAGAAAACCATTGATAAAAAGGAAATGGGCACCTAGGAAAAGTTCATTGTCTTAAGGCAGGAGATGTTACCAGGCTAGGTAGAAGAGCCTGGGAAGGGAAGCTAGGAAGGGAACTAGAAATAATAGCATACTCAATGGTCACCATCTCAGCCCTGGCCGGTGTGGCTCAGTTGGTTGGGTGTCGTCCCTCGCATCAAAAGGTTGCCAGCTCGATTCCCAGTCAGGACACATGCCCAGGTTGTGGGCTCAATCCCCAGTAGGTGGCTGTCAAATCAAGGCATTGAATTAAATGAACACAACAAGTGCTGAGCCCAGAGAACAGAACACTGGAGCCTCAATTTAAAAAAATAATAATAATCTTCAGGATTCCTGTCAGGAGACACGTTATGGTCAAGTCAACCCCTAAGAAGGTCCTTGAAGAGTTTGTTAGAATCTAAGTCCCGATGGACAGAAGCCAGACCCCTGCCACAGGTGACCACTGGCAAACCAGCATTTCGGTTGCAAAGTTTTATTCCGACTTTCCAAGTATGGTTGGTTTGTTTTCTCTGGCCTCTGAAAGTGTGTCTAACAGTGTGATTGGTGGCATTGAAAGAACAGCCACAGTGGCTCCCATCAGGTGGTTTTTGGTTTAGATAATAATGAGTAATACTTGTACAAACGTTGTTATACATTTTTGGGGTAAAATTCTGCATATATTTTAAGCTTAAATATTGAGAAAACCATTGATAAAAAGGAAATGGGCATCTAGGGGAAAAAGTTCATTGTCTTAAGGCAGGAGATGTTACCAGGCTAGGTAGAAGAGCCTGGGAAGGGAAGCTAGGAAGGGAACTAGAAATAATAGCATACTCAATGGTCACCATCTCAGCCCTGGCCGGTTGGCTCAGTTGGTTGGGTGTCGTCCCTCGCATCAAAAAGTTGCCAGCTCGATTCCCGGTCATTGTGGCCTCAATCCCCAGTAGGTGGCCATCCAATCAAGGCATTGAATTAAATGAACACAACAGGTACTGAGCCCAGAGAACAGAACACTGGAGCCTCAATTTAAAAAAATAATAATAATCTTCAGGATTCCTGTCAGGAGACACGTTATGGTCAAGTCAACCCCTAAGAAGGTCCTTGAAGACTTTGTTAGAATCTAAGTCCCGATGGACAGAAGCCAGACCCCTGCCACAGGTGACCACTGGCAAACCAGCATTTCGGTTGCAAAGTTTTATTCCGACTTTCCAAGTATGGTTGGTTTGTTTTCTCTGGCCTCTGAAAGTGTGTCTAACAGTGTGATTGGTGGCATTGAAAGAACAGCCACAGTGGCTCCCACTTGTTCTCCTCACAGGGAAGGCCTTGGAGAAGGCTGGGGGCAAAGAGTTCCTGGAAACGGTGAAGGAGCTCCGCAAGTCCCAGGGCCCCTTGGAAGTGGCTGAAGGTGAGTGTGGAACTGGGCCATGTTCCCCGCACAGCCTCGCACCTCCCTCTCCAGCATCACATGCTTCCCACACGCTCATTTTGCAAAGTAAAATCTGCCGTGCCTAATCAGAAAGTTATTTTTTAATTTGAACAGTCCCAGGTGGATCATGTCATATCCTTCGCGGGCTATAAAGTATCTGGATAGTTCAAGTCAGGGTGCTTCAGGTCGCCCAAAAATGGTCCGGAGTTACTGGGTAACTTTCAGTCATTCTCCTCCCTCGGCCCCTGGCGACCGTCAGTCTCCTCTGTCTGTGGATTTGCCTGTCCTGGACATGTCATGTAAATGGAGTCAGACAGTATGGGACATTTTGTGTCTGGCTTCTTTCACAAATAATTTCTTCGAGGCTCATCATATTGTAGCACGTATCAGAACGTCATTCCTTTTTCATGGCTGAATAATATTCCATTTTGCTTCCCCATTATCACTTGGGTGGTTTCCACCTTTAGCTATTGTGAATAGAGCTACTATAAACATTTGTGTGCAAGTTTTTGTTTGACACCTGTTTTCAAGACTATTGGGTAATTTCTGATGGATGTGTTCAACTTCAGATCTGTGTCCCCACCCACACCACCCCCCATGGCCATCCAGTCAGTGCCAGGTGCTGCCCTGATGCCAGGGCCCCAAAGGCAATATATCCCCCTCCTGCCCACAAGCACCGAACAGCCTAGGAGGCAAGACAGACTCAATAGTGGGGCACAGAGAGATGGGAGCAGGACTGCAGAGCCCACCCTCTGCTTGGGGGAGAAGTGGAATCTCCATGAGGGTATAAGACCCACTTGAGGGCAGGGACATCATGGCCATAAGGGCGTTGTGTGTGAGAAGGCTCGGGTCATGGGCCAGCAGGGAGCAGCAGGTAGGAGACCCTGTATAGACGAGAGGGGCGCCTTTGACCGTTGAAGTGAGGGACTTATGATCAGATTACTAGTAGATGCTGGGGAAGTAATGGGTCTTCCAGTCTAGAAGGAGTGTGAGTCCACCCCGTAGAGTCTGCACATACCATTAAGTGGAATCTCCATGAGGCTATAAGACCCACTTGAGGGCAGGGACATCATGGCCATAAGGGCGTTGTGTGTGAGAAGGCTCGGGTCATGAGCCAGCAGGGAGCAGCAGGTAGGAGACCCTGTATAGATGAGAGGGGCGCCTTTGACCGTTGAAGCGAGGGACTTATGATCAGATTACTAGTAGATGCTGGGGAAGTAATGGGTCTTCCAGTCTAGAAAGAGTGTGAGTCCACCCTGTAGAGTCTGCACATACCATTCCCCATTCATATAGCAATGATGGCATTTTTTTTTTAATTTTAAGACAGAGCCACACTGAAATATAGGACAAACATACATGTGGGCAGGGGTAGGAGAGCTGCATGGGGCAGCAGCAGGGAAGGGCCGAGCTGCAGGTTGGGCTCCAGGTCTGCAATATGCTGAACCATCAGGAGGTGGGCTCTTAGGTGGTGATGAGAACAGAGTCACCTCCTCCGTGGAGGGAACCAAAGCCAGGCTCCGTGCTGAAAGCAACGCTCACGGCCTTTTGCTCAGACAACCACCAGGGCCTGGCTTGTGTGAAAGCTGTTTTCTAGGAGAGCCGATGGGAGCAGGGAGCCTCTCGCCCAGGCTATGTTGCCCACTGGCTCAGTGCATGGACCTACCACACCCCTTCCCAGTCATGAGACAGAGCCCTGAATTGGCCACAAAGACTGGATCTGGGCTGGGGGTCGGAAGGCACCCAGCAGACTGCTTGTCAGGGTGGGAAAGAGAAAACAGCTGCTCTGCGTAGAATGAGAGGCTCCATCTTGCGTCTGAAGTTCCAGAGGCAGAAGATAGAGGGTAGAGAAGCCGTGTTTTAAAATATCATTGCTGTGCGATTTCCAGAATGAAACCCTGGGTCCTCAGGTTGAAAATATTGAGGATAGCCCTAGTCTGTGTGGCTCAGTGGATAGAGCATCGGCCTGCGAACCAAAGGGTCCCAGGTTCAATTCCAGTCAAGGGCACGTACCTTGGTTGCAGGCTTCTCCCCGGCCAGAGCCCTGGTCGGGGCACATGCAGGAAGCAACCAATCAATGAGTTTCTCTCACATCACTATTTCTTTCTGTCTTTCCCACTCTCTCTAAAAATCAATGGAAAGATATTCTCGGATGAGGATTAAAAATAAATAAATAAATAAGATTGAGTGTAGTCCATGGAAGTCGTGGTGACACTTCAGAAGTTCAAACTCAAGAGAAACCTGAAAAGCAACCCACGAGGAAAGGCAGATGGTTTGCAGACAGTTCTCCCGACAGCGACTTCTCTCAGCAACAAAGGTGCTTGGAGATGGGAAGGAAGTCTCTTCCAGAGCACCGAGGGGAGGGGACACTGTCCACCCAGAACTCCACGTGAGGGAGGAGAAGGATGCACAGTTTCCGACGTCCAGGAGTCGGGTCAGAAATCCGCAGCCTCCCTGCAAGGACAGCTGAGGGCCGCACTGTGAGAAACAAGTGAACCCAGGAGACGGCCGGGAATGGAGCTCAGACACTGGGATAGATCTCTTAGGTCCAGGTCTCGAGGCCTGGGAGTGGGGTCTCCCTGGGAAGATGGAACTGGGGTGGGGGTGGGGGGTGAATCTGGAAAAGAGGATGCAGTTTATCAAGTTCTAATATCACATTTCATTTCGTTTCAAAACAGCATCACTTTTAAGAAATGCCCTGTACAAATATTCCATTAAGAAAGAGTAGATTTCCAAGATGGGGTATCTAGTAGGAGGCCCCACATAAAGCCAGGACACATTCAGTTTAAGAGCAAGCAAGACACGCCCCCACTAGGCACAGAGGGCAGCAGGTGTGTATCTCGACCTTGGCGTTGGGTCGACCAAGGGGCAAGAGCCTCCCTAGAGAATCTGACCTGTAGCCGGGCAGACGTGCAGCCAAATCCAGGGCGGCCCAGAAACCTCCGGCAGGGAGGTCAGTGGGACATGACCTTGAGTTGGTAGTGCCCCCAGGTGGCACGGAGGCGAATGCACCTGCTCTGTGAGAGAACTCAGCTCGGTCCAGGCTGACAGTGGTTGTTCGGTGCATCCTGGTTTCAGCCGGGAAGCTGGATGGGCCGGCGTGGGAGGTGGCGGTGGAAATGAAGCAGCCGGGCCTGGGATGAGACAAGTCTAGGAAAGCGACTGGTGTTCCCGTGACAGGGAGGGAGAAAGGGGACTCGGTTTCCAGGGTGAGCGGGCCCATGTTGGACCGGGGCACATGTCACAAGCCGTGAAGGCCTGCTCCCTGCAGGCTCCTCGGAGATGATCAGGAAGACAATCCCTGTGGGGGGGAGCGGAGGGCCAGGTGCGTGGCTCCGACTTACGGAGGATCCGGTCACTAGCACAAGCCGCACCAGACCTGCTGAGTGGGGATCTCACGGTGGGGATGGACATGTCTATTGGTCAGTCTAAAAGCCATTGTATTGGTTTCCTGTCGCTGCTCTAAAATATTACCACAAGACCTAGCCGATGTGGCTCAGGAGATAGAGTGTCGGCCTGCGGACCAAAGGGTCCCAGGTTTGATTCCTGTCAAGGGCACATGCCCAGGTTGTGGGCTCAATCCCCAGTGGGGGGCCTGCAGGAGGCAGCCAACCCATGATTCTCTCTCATCATTGATGTTTCTCTCTCCCCTTTCCTCTCTGAAATAAAAAATATATTTTTTAAAAGTACCACACATTTCATGGCTTCAAAAAACACAGATGTATTCTCTCTGAGCTCTGGAGGTCAGAGGTCCACAGGCTCTGTGGGCGGGGGCTGCCACGTCCCTGGCTCCTGGACACAGCTCTCCCATCTCTGCTTCATCATCTCCTCCCGTGACCTTCCTGCTTTACAGATGTATTCTCTCTGAGCTCTGGAGGTCAGAGGTCACAGGCTCCTGCACCGAGGTGCTAGCAGTGCTGGTTCCTGCTCAGAGGAACCAGCCTCTTCCAGTCCTGGCTGCCACATCCCTGGCTCCTGGACGCAGCTCTCCCATCTCTGCTTCATCATCACATCATCTTCTCCCGTGACCTTCCTGCTCCCTCTTCAAAGGATTGTGTTCCCATCTCAACGTCCCTCCCTGACTCCCATCGCAAAGCCCCTTTATGCCACGTAGGTAACACGCACAGCTTCCAGGGATCCGGATGTGGACATCCGGGGAGGCCACTCCGCAGCTCCCACCGCCCCAGAGATGACTGATGTGCACCTTCGAGCAGGAACCCTGGGGAATAGGTGACTCACCCAGTGACTAGTTGGCAGGACACAGGCAAGTCACATGGTGCCACATAAGCTTTAAAGGAAGCTTGTGCCGCTGTCAGAGCGATTCCGGCACAGCCCCGCTCTGTGGCCCTGCAGTCCCCTTCGAAGGCACAGGAGGTTGTCCAGTCACCTTCTCTGTCCCCACACACCTCACAGGTACTTGTGGGGCCCGGCCTAACCCCCTGGCTTAAGATGAAGACTAGGGAATAACCTGCAGCGTTTCTCTCCCATGTCCCAGCTGCCGTCAGCCAATCCAGCGGACTCGCGGCCAAGTTTGTCATCCACTGTCACATCCCTCAGTGGGGCTCGGACAAATGTGAAGAGCAGCTTGAAGAGACCATCAAGAACTGCCTGTCGGCAGCGGAGGACAAAAAGCTAAAGTCTGTGGCCTTCCCACCCTTCCCCAGTGGCAGGTAGGAGGGGC